CAATCAGACATACAACTGAAAGTACCAAAAACAGTAATATATTGTAACTACTGAAAGTACCAAAAACAGTAATATATTGTAAAATATAACACAATGATATATGTGTTATATTTTATTCATTATAAAATTATAACCAGATAAGATAAGCAATGTGAATGATAATATGGGAAAGGAGAAACTTAGCTTTCAATATGAATGTTTTTATGAAGATCATATCAAGTTGGGCTCACAATAAATCGCTCATGGTCACAAGTTAGTCATTTTTTAATTTTTTTTGTCAAACAAATTCTTCTTTCATATCTTAACTGATTACAAATGGGAGGAGCAAATTCAGACAAATCTGATATGCTAGTCTAATACTGTGATTTATCGAAATCAAACTCTAATGGAGTAGATTGTACATGTAAACCGTTAACTACTAAAAAGTATACAATCAAGTTGTCAACAATCATTAAAAAAATGAAGTCTTTCACGCCAAAGCCTTGTTATTATAATCCTTTTTTTTTTTCGGGCTTTGTCCCATTCCGACATTCACACATTGCAATTTGCAAACACATTATGATTGTGTTTTTTTTTTTTTTTTTTGTCGGCCAAGTAGTGACATTAAAAAGCCCAAGGGCAAAATACAGAAGGCCCAGAGAAATACAAGCAAAAAGAAACGGCCCAACTAAATCAAAATGAAATCTAATTATACTAGATCAACAGTAACTTAAACAAAAACTGCAACACTCTATTTCTGACACGTGGCAAAACTCTCAAATTTTGCTCTTTCACTTTATAATCCACAATTCTATTATTCTTAAAAAAAAATTGTTTTGTTTATTCGCTACTTTAACGAGAACTATTTTTTCGTTTCATACAGTTATGGTTTACTTCATTCCATTTAACCTCCTTTAATCGCTTCCACTTTCCACAATCTCTCCAGTTTCAACCTCCTTTTCCTTTTTTCTTTTTAAATCGTTTCATACATTTCTATCAAAACTCAAGTCTTATATACCCAACACGATTCTTCTTCATGATCGACATGTGTCTCTCATTTTTTTTTTCTTTTTTCATCCACAAATTACGTCAATCTCTCCATCTAATCCTCTTATGCACGCAGCCAAGGTATTCTCCTTCACATCTTCTTAGATTTCAAACATTATTTGGAAAATTAGACCCAATCGCTTAGATGTTTTTCATTTTAAGTTTTTCATTGTTTACCATTATTACGCGCTTCCTTAAAGATATTCTTTTTTTTTGTTTATTTTGGTTATGGTAAATGTATTTCTGATTGGATCTCTGGTTTTACCTCTTTGTATATAAAATAGAAAATGCAAGAACAACCAAGAGAGCATAATCGGAAAGCAAAGAATGACAGACCGTTAACGAATTTGTAAGATGCTTCTCATAAGCAACTATTCTTATTCTTATTAGTTAGTTTATAACTAATATCTACAAAATCTAAAAACGGTTTTATAAAAGAATGTGCAAAATTCCATAAGTTTTTGGTATTTTCCAGTTCTCTAATGGAGTCGGAATTTTATTCTGAAATGTTCATGTTTATTACTTAATTCTTTTTTGCACTTCATTCTTATTGTAAGATTATGAGATTATGAGTTTACATAAAAAATTTACAAATATCATGGTTAAGATTCTTATTGTAATTAAAATTCTTACATTAATGTTTTCTATAATGAATAGTGCGATTACTGAATACAGTAAGTGTTAAAGATTGGTTTTCATGAAGGATTATTCACACAGCGATAAGAAGAGCCCATGAGATGAGGAATTGCTTTGATTTCCACGTTCCCAAACAAGAT